CCTTATTAAACTATACATTCCTGGGGGTCCTACTAGATCTACTCAATTGAAATATCTGGAGTCTGATCCAAAAAAATCTGTCTTCACTGCCCTTTCCAGGTGATTCTAATGATCCCAAATGTTTACAAAACACAGTAGCTGTGTAATTTTTTGATTCATTTAAAAACCTACATGAAAAAGGATTGTCTTCCTCTCTACTTGTATCACTTCGTTGAGAAACTCAGACGAAATACTAACACGTGGAGAACACCAGGGCTGACTGTCTCCCCGGATGCCTGCATGGGGGGTAACAGAAACATTTACAGCACTATCTGGAATAAAACATTCTCATAAATGTCAGTCCAAGGTAAGAAAGCAATAATGAATCTTTATACATCTTGTGTATGTCAATTACCTCATCATTAAAAAAAAAACCAATCAGGCTAAAATCGGATGTTTCAACCCCAAAATTAACTTAAGGCATCCAGGGACACTTTTTAATGTTACAGATGAGAAACTTGAGAGGCAGGGACTGGAGCATGACAACACAAGTATTGGTTGGATCTGGGATCCAGACGTTCCAAGCAAGCCCAAGGCTTTACCCACCATCAATCTATTTTCCTTCCTTCCCTGCCCCCTTTTCTTTGCTCATACAGAACACATTCCAACTTCAACTCTTCTTTTTCTCTGCCCAAGTGATGAATCCTCTTTTCCCTTCATCCTAAGTTTTTCTCCAGTGTCCAGAATTACATTCAACCCACATCTCTCTGTGGAGGACTTTCTTAGTCTTTCAAAGTCACAGGTTGTTTGAGGAAAAAAAAAAAAAAAGACTGTTCCTCAAGCACTGTAGATAGTTTTTAGTTGGTCAGAATACATTTTTCCACAAACATCATATTGAACATATCTTTAACATAAGCATTTCCATGTTAGTTTCTGTTCTACAACCTTGCAGCTTGTGTTCTACCTTTGAGCAAATTGTTTATAGCTGACATTAAATCTCTTGAGATTCTTCTTCAAAGAACATATTAGAATCATTATGACCACAAAAGAAATGACTGTTGTCATATCAAATGAAAGATTCCATGGGGAACATGTGCCTTCAGCATCAGAAATGTGGTTATTTACATTTCAGACAAGATACACTTTTTTGTCCCCCTCTCCACCAAGGTGAAATTATCTACAAATTGAATATCTTTATTTGGATGACAGGGGCTTACAAGAGTTACTTCCAATGGAAATAGAGAAATATGTACCTTGAGTCAAAACACTGATGTGTTTTTCATTCAACAGAATTCATTTTGAATGATCTGAGTGTTTTATTGTCTACCTCCTAAACCTACGGATCCTCAATAAAATTGGTCCCATATTAGGTGCTAGTTTACACCAGGCAAACATTCAATTGATCTTTTTAGAGTAGGCATTAGCTTAAAGCCATGGAAAGAGCCTAGACATCCAACAACAGATGAATGGATAAAGAAGATGTGGTATATATATACAATGGAATACTATGCAGCCATCAAAAGAAATGAAATCTTACTATTTGCAACAACGTGGATGGAACTAGAGGGTATTATACTGAGCGAAATAAGCAATCAGAGAAAGACAATTATCATATGATTTCTCTGATATGAAGAATTTGAGAGACATAGTGGGGGCTTTGGGGGGTACGGAAGGAAAAAATGAAACAAGATGGGATCGGGAGGGAGTCTAACTATACAAGACTCTTAATCTCACAAAACAAACTGAGGCTTGCTGGAGGGAGAGGCGGGTAGGAAGAGGGTGGTTGGGTTATGGACAATGGGGAGATGACATGGTGTGTAAACCTGGTGATTCACAGACCTATACCCCTGGGGCTAATAATACATTATATGTTAAGAAAAAAAAAAGTTAAAAAGATAAAAGAAAAAAAAAGTAGGCATTAGCTTAATACAGATTCCTTCATTTCCAGGACTCTAGTCTTTATTACCTTTTTCTTTAAACCTAAGGATGACTGAAGTTTTCCTTTTAAAACACCGACTTAACTTACTTCAAAACTCCTTAGTTGGGTTAACTATGTTTGGCATGGGTTTTTAAATTTAAATTTCAAATGTTACATGTAACGAATTCTCAGAGTCTTAAACATTCAGTGTATAACATCAAACTTTTCCCAGATGTAATTTTCTATGATTTTTACTAATTTGAGAATCTCCAAAGGAAACATCATATTTTAAATTACACTTCTTAATAACTGAAATGAAGTTTCTTCCCTAGGTAACAATTCCCTGAAGGTTTTCATTACATCATCATGTGTTTATAACTTCTTGTTAGACTAGGTGTCAGACCATATGATGAAAAATGTCTGGCACATGGAAACACTATAGTGAAACAGTAAACTAATGAGTCAGACTAATAATATTCAAATCCTGCCTTCTCTGTTTACTACCTGGCAGACTGCACAGATTTTTAAACTCTTTCTGTATCAGTATGACTGTTTTACTATTGTTGTTGCTTTATTAAGAAGATTTATTTTTTAAATTTTATTTATTTGAAAGAGAGAGAATGAGAGAAGAGAGAGCATGACCGAGGTGAGGGGCAGAGGGAGAAGCACACTCCCGGCTGAGCAGGGAGTCTGATGCAGGGCTTGACCCCAGGACTCTATCCCGGGACTTGATCTTGGGACGCTGGGATCATGATCTGAGCGGAAGGTAGATGCCCAACTGACTGAGTCACCCAGGCGCCCCTGTATGATCATTTTAATAGTATTTGCTTAATAGAATCAGATGAGGTAAGATGGTACCGTGCTTGGAACAGTGTTGGACAGAGTGTACCATATTAATACTACCCATTGTTATTATTTTTATTATTAGATAAGTAGGCCTATTATTATTATATAGTATAGTAATCATTCTATTATTTCATGCTATATTGTTATTCAACTAAGCACTTGCAATTATGAAATGATTGACTATGGAAATACATTCTTTTGACTGAACTATTTGAAGTTCACATTTCATTACATTGAAATAAACAGAGCACTTATGGAGTATAAGTAAAGATTGGAAATTGCATATGGTTTGCATCTAAGTCCTTTTCCTACGAGATGGCTGAGGATTGTAAGGGCCTGGGCTAGGCAGTGAGGACCTCTCAGGGTAGGGGGTGAGCAGATAGAGTGACTTTTACTAGATCCTGGATTCAAAGCAAAGAGTTAAGATGGGAAGAGAAGAAAGCCAACATCTGTAAGTCAGGGAATCAAGCCACCAACAGAAAGCGCAGATGCCAAGGAACTGGAGAACCAGGGAGGCAACGGTAGAGAATGATGGGTCCGTGACAAGCCTGAAGTCACTGAGACAAATCCAGGGGTCAGTGCTGTCACCGCCAGCTAGCCTTATGAGACCTCACGCCTGGGCAGGAGGTTGCATAGACCAGGCACTGGTGCCTTCCGCACTTCTATTCCTGCCACTCTGCTTTGACTGCACCGAACATAACCTATACTTGTCTTTTCAGCAAAGACACACACTCAAGGTGATTTCCCTACCTTAAGAAGAAGTGGTATACATGTGCAACCTCATCTCCCAAAACAGAAAGCACCTCCCTCCATAGCAAAAAGATAAAATAAACATTCACGTGTCCCCTGACAGCAACACACGTGTCAGAGTACAGCAAACAATGTGATAAAATCTTCAACAGAACCTGAGATCTAGAGGCTACGGCAGATGCTGCAGCTAATAACTTTCAAGCATCTCAAAGATTACCTGAGGGAAAAGAAGCAAACAAAATAACAGAACAAATGTCAGATCCATAAAATTGACTTGTATCTGAATGAAGGCATCTCCCGAAAGTGATCTTTATCTGAATCAGATTTTTCCTAAAGTGGGGGTAGGGACAAGGAATTCTAACTAGATCTGGCTCTTGGTATGTTGAATATTCATCTTGTGAAACAGAACACAATTTGCATAATGTGGGGCCCAGGTCTGTGCACAGGAGCACCCTTCAGGGAACTAGATGAAGCTTCCAGAATAATAAGAACATTTTCCAGTTCACTGCAGAGGAAATCCACAGCTCAAACTTCATTTTTTTTGACAGGATTTCCCAGATTTGCTCAAGAAAATGCCCCAGAGAATGTTTCTGCTTAAGTTGTGTGTGTTTGTGCGTGTGTGTGTGTGTGTATGTGTGTGTGTAATGTCTGTATATATGTTTACATATAGGTTTTTGTTGATAATATTTACCAACAACAGAGTTTTAAATAATTTACACGAATATGACATGCAAACCCAAATAAAACATTTTTCTTTGAGGCACCATGAATTTAAACTGTCAATTTCTGCTCAACAGATAGTGAAAAGAAATACTTTCATCTAGGTCTCTGTTGCTTGGTTCTGTGGCAGAAATTCATTCTAAGTACACTACAACATGTGGACACAGCACATCTGAATGTGAATTATTTGTAAATAGTAAACATTCCAGAAGAAGTCATATGGCTAAAAAGGTGCTCAACTTCTTGCATACATTATTACAAAACAGAAAGACTTGCTTAGATTTAAATGCAATATGCATTTTATATTAGAAGTAGTTCCCCAATAAAACACAAACACAACCTGAATTCCTAGTTTTAAAAGAACTACTCTCTTTAAATTTTCCCTTTTTTAGAATTTGCATGAATTTTGTTTCTATTTACAAAATAATCTTTTACAAGAAACTCTCCAAGACAAGCACCTTTCTAAAGAGAAATAAAAAAGATTATATTAACATCACTTCTTTCAAAATCACTCAATTTTCCAGACTAGTTCCAAACTAGTTCATCTTTTTTAATGTGCAAATGCACAACTTTAACAGGTCATATTACTCTTCTGCTTGATATACTGATATTATCAAACATTGATGAATAATGAATCAACAGCCCCTATGGCATTGTATAGAGATCAAACATTAAAGCAAAAATGGCAGAATCAATAGACACAGATCCTTTTCATTTCTGTCGCTGCTGTTACTGTTATTTCGCAAGCTATTGAATGAAAGGCCAATATCTTTGGCATGTTACTTACTGATGGGTAGAGGTAACCTTCTCCATTCATGGCTATATACAACCCTGTCTTCACTCCCTGGATGGCAACAACGCGCAGTCCCACTGGTATGAGGTTGAACAGTGCTGCAAAGATAAACAACCTGTCACAAATGGGCTGGGAGAAACAAAGCCTTGCCATCATTTTCCCCTCCCCCCTTTCTTTTATTAAAAAAAAAAAAACTGATAATCTTTGTTACAACCTTCTGAGAAGTTCCAATTAATTAACTTTTATTTCTCTTTATAATTAAGATGTTTCTGCAATGGATAAATTTAGCACTTGAGCTTCAATTTGTACACCTTAATGGTCTGCCTATAGCATTCCAAAGAACTGACAGAGTAATAAACAGTCAACCCTGGAATCCCGATTCTAGGATCACAGTGTCTGACCTCATTTGATACCAAAAGAGACCAGCTATGAAGATTCTCAAAGAGTGGAATTTAAAAAGTCAAAGTTCAATGCTTATTCTGGTCTTTCATGCAGAAGGTGTGCTTTATCACTGCAATGTAGGACAGGTCACAAGTTAAAAAGGTAATTCCAAAACAGAATTACTCTTGCTGAACAAATATGAGATGCCAGCAGAGCCCAGAAAAGATGTGCACTGCCAATGTCCTCAATTTAGAAAGAATTAATCATACTGAACGGCATGCACATTTTAGAGAGACATTTCCTTTACTAATATCTTATAAAGCTGTGAGTGATAACTAAAATAAAAGAGGGAAAAGTGTTCAATTTTACCCATCCAAGATAAAAACTCATTTATAGTTCCATGTTTCGCTTCTTCCCTTATTGTCAAGGAAATTATTTTTATATATTTTTACATAGTACAGAAAGCAATGTTATCATTGATTTCTTATAAAGTCTTAACATTCCTTTAACACATTCCATGCCAGGGTTATATGTTAACTCTTCAGTAGGTGTTCTAGCACCTTTCTTAGTAATAACTGCTTGATGGTTTGAGCGACTTTATTGTAGATATGTTTATAAGAGTAGTTAATTATCCACAGTGTGGTTTTCTGCTCCCATGGTCTTAACTGAAGACTAATTCCAAGCAACTGGACCAGGCCTGCACAGGCAACGACAGCACTGAGATGCTGAAGTGAATAAGTAAACAAAATACCTATTTTAGGTTCTCAACTGTTTTCCACAAAGACAGATCATTGGGAAAACTGGGCCACGTTGACTTCAATCCATGAGTCTACTCAGTACATAATTAAAAATGGACTTTATAAATTAATTTTTATTTAATTAAATAAAATTATGCATTGTCAGGCTGGGGGGAAATTATACCCTCTCTTTCAATTATTACATGTTACTGATCCAAGATCTCAAGATGTCTGTGATGAAAGGAATATGGTGGGCCATGGCCATAGATAATTACACCTACAGGGATACTCAGAGGAGTGTATATGGTTCAGTGGATATTAGCTTTCATGATGCAAACTACTATTGAGACATCTTCCGTGGGATTCTAGGGGCTTATGTTATAGAAGAATGAGGTTTATCCTCGCTCACTTCTATTAGTAAAACAGTAAACAGGAGTGGGAATCATTGAGCAGTTATGAGGTACTTGTGTCATTGTAACTCAGTATTCCTTCTTCTTGGGAGAGGGCCACTGGCCAATTCCCCTCTTGGCCAGAACACCTAGACTGTCCCATCTGCCTTATATTTTGAAAGGATGGGCACCATAGAACAATTTCTGATTGATACGCAAAAGTTCTAGAGAAAAAAAAACACAATTATACGACTGTCCTTGAAAACCATTCTAACTTAACCATTCAAACTTAATTATTCTCATCTTTATATACTCTTAATAGTATTTATAGGTGCTATATATTTGATATAGGCCAGATGTTATAATTCTAGAAAGTAAGAACATATGAAGTAACCAAAATAATGTGGTATAGGAAAGAGAAAAATTATAGATGATAGTCTAAAATGATCATATAAAAAATAGATTTTCCTTAGGAATTTGGTTGGGACCTGAATTATAAAATGTCAGTTATTATCATTTACAGAATGATAATACAAAGTGAATCCATATAACCACTTCCTGTGGAAGCCTGTTCAGAGCTGACCATAAAGAATTCATGGTGTTAATTAGAACTGCAGATACCCACATTAATTGAGGCATCATTTTATTTTTCTATTCTTTTTGTATTTTATGTAATTATAAAGCAATGTCACAAAACCTAACAAAGTCAGAACAATAAAACGTTCAGGCTACTTTGTTCTGTGGGACACTCTAGTTTTCCATATAATAGTGATTTTCAATTCTGGCTATACTTTAAAACTAGCTGTATTCATAAGAGAGGACAGCTCTGCCCAACTGCGGACTAATTAAATTAAATAAGAATCTCTGGAAGAGAGGTTGGGGTTTAGGGCATAAGGAGTTCTTTTTAAGTTTTTTTTTTTAAAGTTCCTCAAATGACCCTAAAGGACAGCCAGAGTGAAAATCACCATCCCAAGGCCTGTGGGTTGGTGGTCACTGTGAGTGATGGGCAATTTTTACATAACAAATTATTAGGTAGAAATTTCTAAGATGATAGGGCTTGGTGCATGTGAGGTTTTAATATCGCTATTGTTACTGGCATATTGATATTTCTATAGTCATATTCCACAGAGAGCATTTATTAAGTCTGGTAATGGGAGTAATTAAGTTTAAGAGCACAGGAAAACCTCGTGGCATCCCCAAAACAACTGGGGGGAAAGAAAATCACCTCTTAATCAAATGCCATAGTTCATGGTAATGCTAACCCTTAGTAGATAGATGGGAAACTGTATGAGTTTTACATGGATACAACCCTCAAAATGAATCTGGTGATGCAGTAATCTGGGTGCTCATTTCTTTCTGTGAAAGATCTTTCTAGGGTACATGGAAGCCAATAAGAAGCAGTCAAGTTGCTACAGTATCTTCTTTGTTTGGACCAATCGTCCATCATCAACCATTGTCTTACCATTTTTCCTCCCAGAAATTTCTAGATCTCAGGCAGGAAAACCCAGGGAGGACTTTAGTGTTGGGCTCACCTGCCTGCTGGCCTGTCTCTTTCTTCTCAAGTCATCTGAAAATTTTGACAAAGGGCAGCTTCGTAGGGTGGTTCTGACTTTACCTAGTTCTTAATAAGCTCATGTTTAGCTGTGGGAAATGAGTCCAACTCAAATCATGAAGATTTGAAGGTTCAATCCTCAGTTTTGTTGTTTGTAACCTCTACTATGGCATCATGGTGACTCTTAGGGCATTTCTCTTTATTTTTCCTACTTACAGTTGACTAATTCTTATTTTGTATTCAAAGAATTATCAAAAATCTAAAACACATGTGTGAATTACTACATCATACCCTAATGCAAACCAAAAGGGCAATGTTCCCATGAGGACCTGGTTGCCAGCATCTTTATTGCTCCCCAACTTTTTACAGAATATTGTTCACAGTTTATGGTTTTCTCAAGACTCATAAGACTGCTATAATGAACCAGAGAAAAGGAAATTATCTTAAATTCCACCTAAAAAAAAGCTGTGGTTTTCAATTGCAAAGGTGATGGTACCCAAAAGTAGAGTTAATTAGTAACTCCCATGGCTTTTTATAAAGCTATTGTACTCCTGCCATGTTTTATTAAATTTTAGGGTCATGCAATTTTTATAGCCTTTTGAGAAGTGGATCTTTACCTCACCTTGTTTTGCTCTGTCTTTGCAAATGTTGAAATGGTAATAAAACTAACCTAATGAGCTAAATGTGCACAGAAAGTGCAGTGTAACTTGTAAGAAAAGCAGCTGCGGCCCGTAGTGGCCGTTGAGTGCGAGCACTACAATTTGGTTCTGGTTTGCTTGGACACAGGAGCCGCTGCTCCCGCTTCATTCTTCACCAGCATTTAAGGGGGATGAGAGAGGATTCCAAGTGTTGCTCCAAGATTCCTGTTCCTTCTAATACGGTTACATAGCAGGAGAAAAGAAGCCTTACACATTTAGAGAACAGAAGGTTGTATCTCTTTCAGGGTCTCTGCTGTTCATTGTAGTATTGGATATGGTTCAGATAACCAGATACAATTATGTGTGTGTGCATATGATGTCTACATCTGCACATTCACAGTTTAGAAAATACTGTGCTACTGATCGAGTTCTGAAGCAATATGCTGTGGAAGACAGCATCTACCTAACACTTCTTAATTCAGTATTGATTTCTATCATTAAAAACAACCAACTTGTTTGGCATTACAAAAACCAAAGAAGAAGGTAGAAAAGAAATGCATAAAACCTTTGAAGGAAATTATTTTTCTGAGAAGTCCAACTAAACAGCATTTTATATAGCTATGGTTTATTTCCTTTCTTGAAAACTTTGTCATAAGGGATGGCCTCAACCTCTAGGTCAGAATTTCCTAATTCTTGCAGGTATCAGAATTATGGAAAACTAGTCCTCACTCTCAGTCGGACTTTGGCTGAAGGAAATCAGAGAACACTGAAGACATCAGAACTTGTGAATCTCGAGAGTCCATAACCCCACAAGTGTAAGACATAAGAAAAAGAGAATGCCTTTTGTCAAAGAATGGGTAAGGAGTTCAAGATAGAAGAAAATGAGCAGACATACATGTATTAGCTTGAACCAGAAGAAACTGACATCTTTTATTGATCAAAGATGGTCAAGTCCTTACACTTTCAAAAAGTTCAACCTAATAGCAAAATCCCAACAAGTAACCAAATGGTTGACATCAGTTTTATGAGTAAAAATAACTTCTCTTTCTTCCTTGTGCTTGAATTGCTTTACCTTCTCTTTCTTTAAATAGAAGGAGGAAATAAACAACAATGACAAAGAATCAATGAACAAATATGATAGAGAAAAGTTTAAAAGGACAAAAGGGCAACATAATAGACACAAAGAGAGAAAAAGTTAAGAAATTGAAAAGGAAAGAAACACAGACAAACAGAAAAAATTTAAAGTTGAAAGAAAAATTTTAAATGAAGTAAAGTCCAAAGTCTAAAAAGTAAACACAATGGCTGGAAAAATACTGACATTACACATAGGGACACCAAATGCAAAGGCAGTCTACTTTATGTTATTAGTTATTCTTTATGCTATTGAAAATTTGATTACTAGAATTAAAAACACAAAGTGCCCGTAATTTGTGTATTCAAATCCTCCCTTCTTTTCATGGAATGATGCTCTGTAAATGAAGGATAAATGCTAAATGGTTTAAATGATTCATATCCATTCCTGATCCACTAGTAATATGTGAATAAGTATTTCCAATAAAATAAGTTTTGCTTTTCATTGATTCTCCTGAGCAGTAAAAAGTGTCTATTTTAGAACTGATGTGCTAAATTAAAAGGAATCTAATGCCAGTATAAACAGGAAATGGGAAAGGAACACACAGACAATTGAATAAAGAGAGACACCAGAATGAAAATACAAAGAAAAGTTATATATTAAAAAATAATAAAATGAAGACAGACACTAATACAATGGAGGGTCAGTGGTTTTTCAATTAAAGACAAATCATCAGAGACCCAATTCTGTAAAGCAGTGAAACATTTTGTACAATGTATTTAAACGCACAGAGCCTTCATGTCCTCTCTCTAAAAAAAATACTACCTTTTCTTGCTGAAGACACATTTGAAATATTACATTTCTATTCTTTGAAACAACTAATCCTTATAGCTCTTTAATTTCCATAATTATCATTAAAAAGCTACAGGTTTGATAAAAATATTTCCAAGGTAAACATGGATTCGTCTTTCATCCAAATGCACTAGTGTACTTACTTGACTTTTATGAGATGAAAGTAACAACAATGCTGGATCTGCCAATTGTTTTGAGAAAAAAAAAAAAGAGAGAGAGAAACGAATTATCTTAAAATGACAGGCTTTGTGTGTTGCTCTGCTCATGTTTTCATCCACATGGTCTCAGTAAAATTGTGGATGGCCTTCTAGTGTGTAACATTCACAAAAATGAACCAACGTAACAAGTATTTGTAAATGTAGCTTAGAAAGTCATTTATGTAGCAGTGTATGTTCTACCGACTGTGTTAACGGGAGGCCTGAGGTCGTCACTTACTAGAATTAGTGCTGTCATCCTTGGTTCCATCGAGAGCTCCATCGGGGTGCATTTGCAAGTAGTAGCCTTGCCTGCAATATAACCTGGTCACTATACCCTTGAGCTGGGGATCTGAAAGGCAAACATAGTTATCATAAGCCTCACAACGTGTCACAATAGAGTTTCTTATTTCTTTTTCTGATTTTTTTTTCTTTTTCAGAAGAGGGCATTTGATAGAAGTAGCACCTTTGATTCTGTGTCTCCCAGATTCCTCTGTATTTATCAAACCTGGCACATACTAATCAGAGAAGGTCAGAAGCTGCATGTGTCAGCTGCAGAAACTGGGTCATTTTATAAAACTAACATGTGAATTTAAATGATTAATTAGAACAATTAAGCTACCAAATCTATTGGTGTAATTTTAGTTAAGTCCTGAACTAATTAGTTTAATATCATTCAGGATGGCCATACAAGAGTTTTGCAAACTTCTGGTTCTAAGAAGCATTTAATAAGGCTTTTTAATGGATTTTTCTTTTTATTTAATTTGACCAGTAATCCCAAAAGGTGAAAAACCTGTATTTTTTTTTAAATCAAACTAGCATTTTGATATGCATTCTTAGGAAAAAACCTCGTTATGGAGAATGTTTCTTTGATGTCTAAAGGGTCACTGTCACTGGCCTGGGAGCATCTGGTACTTATGCATGACCCATAGAAAAATGAGAAAGTTGATTTCTAAGCTCAAGGTAAGACACAACAACAAACTTCTGCTGTGAGATCATCTCTGTGACCATGATCCAGACATATTAAACTGATGTATAACTAAAAAGGAGAGTGAAATTATTTGATTTTATTCTTAACCAAAAAGGCCAAGGATAGAGGACAGTGGGAGTTTATTTAAATGAAAAGGGAAATTATATGGTAACAGACTTCTTATTTGATGCATTGAAAAGATAACCAGTGAAGTGACTCAGGCTTTACAAAGGGCCAGTTGTACCTTTGAAAATAAATATTTACATATGGCTTTTCAAAGGTCATCCCCATCTCATGACTGGATTTGATGTTGGACATCATAGTCCTCACCATGGCAACTGGCACCTCTCCACTACTGCTGAATGGGACTTGCAAATGCGATCAGATCATGCTATCAAAACAGTAGATTGGTACAAAACAATGAGGTCGACCATCTTGTAATTGACAGAAAATTTGTGGATTAGCCAACAGGTAAAAACAAAAAAATACACATGCAAAAAAAAAAAAAAATGTTGTTCCAAACCAGAATACCCTTAGCCTTTTGTTTAGTGCTCAAAAAATTAAAGAGAATGTCAATATCTATTGTCACGTACATATGATAGAACTAATAATTTCAAAAATAACCTTATGGTACACAGATTTTCTTCGAAGGTCATATGAGAATGAAGAAAATCTGGGGAATAATTCATGAACACCACAGCATCACATCAATCTGACTAAATATAATAGAATGTAGATGCTTCTAGAAGACGAGGATTAAAAAAAATCTAAGTGATTATTGGGATTATGTGACATTTGTTCCTTATTCTGTAGTATACACCTTTAAAATTCACACACAATTCTAAGATGTGCATTAGTGGGAAAATTACTCTTGTGCCTTAGTCCACCCATTTCTCAGTAAAATTGGGCTACTGACTCGCTAAGTATCAAGGACTTCTTTTCTTATTTATGCTGCAATGTATTTATGCTCATCACTGAAAATAAGTGGCACGGAAAAGAAGAGAACAAAGGTAAAAAGGCAGGTTCTTAATTGTCATGATGACATACAGAGGATTTCAGAGATTGATAATTCTTCTGTAAAACCTTTATGTTCTGAATGACTTACTTTTGAATTCTACATTTTAGCTTACTACATCTTCTAGACCTGAATTAAGTAGGTCAGGCAAGGCAGTACAAGACATACAACTCCCACAAGCTCCCTCACACTTTAACAAAAAGAACACTTTTATTTTTCCTTTTCTATGATCAAAAAGACAAGGGATAACAGGTATTGGTAAGGATGTGGAGAAGGGGAATCCTTGTGCATTGTCGGTAGGAATGCAAATTGGTATAGCCACTGTTGAAATAGTATGGGTTTCCTCAAAAAATTAAAAATTGTACTACCACATTCAACTGATCCAACAATCCCACTTCTGGGTACACAGCCGAAGGAAGTGAAATCAGGGTCTTAAAGAGATATCTACACTCCCATATTCACTACAGCATTATTCACATTAGCCAAGATGCAGAAACAACCAAGTGTCCATTAGTGATTGAATGGATAAAGAAAATGAGGTATCTATATACAACAGCATATTATTCAGCTTTAAAAAGAGGGAAATTGTGTCATTTGTGACAACATGGATGAAACTAGAGGACATAAGACTGAGCTCTTTGTCATGACACCTGATTTCTGATAAGGAAGTATAAGCAAAATACAAAACTTGTGTTTTTGAATTCTCACTAAATTTCAAAGAAACGAGATGAAATTGGTATCCATGTATCAAGTTTCACATTATTTGATGTCTTCTCTTTAGAAACCATAATAGCATTGTGCTCTTCTCAGGTGCCAGGCACTATTCTTAGTACATCGCAGGATTAACTCATTGAACTCATCACAAATTACTTAACGGGAAGCCCACTTTGAAGATGAGGAAATGGAGACAGAAAGATGGAGTCATTGACAAGCATAAAACTGATAAGTGCCCAGCTGGGGGTTGAACAGGATCCTGCCACCATAACCACTAAGCTAGGTGACCTCTGGAAGTTGAACAATGGACTGTAACTTTATAAAAGCCTAAAATAAAATGCAAACCAATCTTTTTTTTTTTTCCTTTTAAACTAGGTTTTTAAAGATTAACCATGGCTGTATCTAACCCAAATCCTGCACACTTGGAGCTGGATCTGTGATTTAAAACAACATGAAGTTAGAATCAAAGTGCTTGAAAATCTCTTCTACTATCTGCCCCACTTTGTCGTTGGCCACATTTCCAATAAATCTCCACCTGTGCAATCCCCACCGAGGTTGCAGATCTAATCCTGTAGGCTTAAACTCGTCTAGTGTCATTCTCCAGAAGGTACTTGTTGCCTTGACTAGGAGACTCATGTGAACTGTCTCAGCCACTCACATCCACACCGCACTTGCTTTTGGCATTCCACTAAACAGTTGCCTGGTTCCTGCATTCTGTCTTCACAATCTCCCTCCCTTTCCCCTGTTCTAGCTTCACCACGGGAAGCACTGCAGCCCCTCCTGGCCTCTCCTAGGTGGTCATCCCATGGGCAGTGTGCTTGTTCCAATCCAGCAGATCCAGCAACATGCAGTGAATCACTCACACGCCCCACTGCAGTGGGGACCCATCTTACCTGACCTGCCTGGTTTGAAAGTGCTCCATGCCAACCTCTGCACGTAACCCAGCCTGGGTCCCTGGGGGCTGTCTGCAAATATCCCATAACCTCTCACATCTATCATGTCCCCTTTACCTATGCTCACCTGCATAAAGATGCCTCCTGGCCCTTCTGTGCACATACACCCACATGCATTCATCTTGGCACACTTAACTCCATTTCCTCCTTTCTCAAGTTCACCTCCATCAACTCTTCCTCTGAGGCACTTTTCTGACACCTCAGATGAGTTCAGATTCCTCCTCTGAACACTTCCATGGCAGCATTCTTCATAAGCATTACTCATTTTTAAAATGTCAAAATTTTCCATTTTGAAGTGATTTTACTACAGTAAAAGTTACAGGAAATAATACAACCTACACCTATGTACCCATCATGCAAGTTAACAAGTGTTAGTATTTTGCTCTATAATTCATGATTTGAATTTCATGTTTATTTGTGCAATTATATGATTGACATCTGCTCCAAACTCTACTGTAAGTTTTGTGAAGAAAATCAAAATGTATGATATTGCTCACCATTACATCTCTAGGGTCTAGATAAATAGGAGCTGGGAGGTATACATTTTTCGAATGAATGTTGACAGTGTTAGAGTGTAATTTATCCAGTAATTTCATATATTGCTAATAAAAACTTGCAAAAACAACAAGAAATCCAGGATAGCAACAAAGTCTAAAAATTGTCTAAAACTTTTGACCAGGTAATTGTACTTGCTAGACTTCTAACTTAAAAATAAGTCTTCAGTGTTATGAACTTTTGTGTAATGACATATGTATATATAACATGAGCATGACTATGTAAAAATTATTATTCATGGGGGAATATATGGGAAAGAATACAAAAATTTGAAAAATTAATATATTTTGTTGGTTACTAGAATATATATTTTTCAACATTTTATTATTTAAAAGCTCTTGTATAATTTTATAATGAAAATGCAGATTTAATATTAATGCCTTTTGACAAAGAATGTGTAAAGATAACATTTCATACATACTTGCAAATAATATTGCATACATATATGCAAATAACCTAATGCATATTACTGTTGTAGATTAATTTGTGCCCCAAATTTTCAAGGATTCCACATATTAGTTTCTCTTTGTGTTTAGTCATTTACCCACAAAACCTTCACTATGATCCTCACTTATAAAACTGGCCATTGTGTAATGTGGCCATTTATAGCTTGAGGTCACTCTTTCAAATAATTAAAACAGAAGAAAACAAAATCTTTCCTCAAAGTCCAGAAGTACGAAGCTAAATAATCATAATACAAAACAAAAGAAAATGAAACAATTTTCCTGAGAAAACAACCACATCAATTATATGTGGTCAGGCAAAGGTATGACTAAGTTACTAGGTCTACTGTGTAGAGGACAATCTCCACAGTCTTGACTCTCAATTAATAACTGAAGGAAAATATATATCTGAAATCACTTGCTTATTTTTAACTAGCCATATAAAAATGCAAAAATATTTTTCAACTCATAAAACTGTTAGAGTTCTTTATTCTTTCTTAAAATACTTATGTATTCAGAATATTTACTCTGCTTAATATGAAAACTTTGTCTTAATTACCCTTTTTCCTTGTATTTTCTCTTTTGTTATGCTTACTATATAACATACTTTACTTGACATTCTACTAAAAATGTTTTGAGGATACTCCTTGTCTGAAACTCTGTACTAACTATGTTCTCTGACATTAATTAAAATAGAAATAA